AACTTGCACTCTTGCGCCGAGTATCCTCGATTAACCAATCAAACATCCTTTCGGAAAGGGGTTAATGCATTTAGGCAAGCTCCGTGTCGTTGTGTGGAGCGTTGACCCATGTGGATGAGAGACCCATGTTTTTATGAGGCAATTGTGAAGATCCACTTCCTTATACAAATTAAGGTTGACTTCACCGACGGTCTGAAGTGCAATCAGTGGGAGAAGGATAGAAAAAGTGTGTTGCTGTAACATTTGTAATTTGTTAGTGGGAGAGAAATTCAGTTCCCGAGATTTGGTATTCACACCGGTGTATGAACGTCTAGCCATGAGCAGCATTCAAGCGAAGTTCTTCAAACATATCGCCGGACGGAAGATAAAGGCAATGCGATCAAGAATACTTTCTATGAGCGCCTAGTACATACTAATAGGTCCTTTCCCTGCCAAAATTACGTAACACAACGGCGGCACAACAGTGGATATCCCTTTACGGATTGAGAGTGATCAACTTGGGCTCAAGAAACTTATCAAAAAACGTGGCTTTCATCGGATCGTAGATTGGTCATGTTGTATTAGAGAGACGACATGTCACTAGTGTTCTAGATAAGCGAATGTTTCGCCAACGTAACATCAAGTCGGCTTCCTACGCTGTCGCAGCGCAGTTCCGTAGCTGAATTTGTTCTGTTGAGAACGCTCGTCAACAAACGCAAGAACCACAACCACGGCAGATAGCCAACCGATCGTATAAAGAGCTGGTATATTGGGGAAGGTCGGACTCAAAGTCGCGGAGGACCACAACACGTGCATTTAAAGACAAAAAAAGTATATATGTGTCTGCCTCAACGTAATGCTGCAGAAAACAAGAGGAGACATCCCTATGAAATTGACTAAGTGTCATCAAACGCACGCAGGTCTTCCCTTTCACATTACCGTTGTCAGTTATAACTATGATGTTGTGAAGGTTCGTCTATCTTGGAACCAATATTAACACCAACAACAATGTCAGTCTGGAAATCCTATGCAGAAGTACTCTTACCAGCAGGTGCTACTTCGGACTGAATACTCAATTGAAAAGTAAAGTCCTCACTCGACGTATAAAAACTAATCTCCTCAAATCCCTCATCTTTTCCGTCCTGCTATAACGTGTGGAGGCATGGAAGATGACAACATCTGATAAGTCGGCAGTTAGCATGCCAGGAATTTATGGACCCTTGCGAACTAATGACTTCAAACACACCAGACAATGGAACGATGAGCGGTAGGAAATATAATATGACATTAACATGGTTCAACGAATAAAGACGCTGGCTAGGTTAGGTCGTTCGAATAGATGATAGCTCCCAGCTTGGAGAGCAAACAATGCAGTTCCCGCCGTTTGAAAGAAAGAAAGAGGAAGACTTCTACTCTGTAGGTTAAAACAGTGAAATAAGGAAAGGAAGAAATGGCTGGTCTGCTATTGTTCTAATTAGCATCCGGGGACATATTTTTGCTGATATTCCCGTGGTCACTCGGAGCTAAAAATGGTAAAATAATACAAATAATCTAGGCACTATCTACTGTCATGCCTTCCGAACGGATTAAAGCAGGCAGCTTTTAGAGTACCCGCCCTTGAAAGCAAGGAAGGATGATGGCATCTACAAAAAAATCTAAGAGCTAAAGAAAGGAAGAAATGGATGGTGGGATATTGTTGATCAAAAGTAAAACGGTGATCATCGAGAAGGCTCCTCACGCTACCAATATCAGAAAACATACTTTGATGGATATTTCCGCGGTGAGGCTGTGAACTCAGTCAGAGCCTCGATGTCAAGATGATCAAAAAGGTTAAATACTCATAATCATCTAGGCACTTTCTACAGGACTGTCGTTCATTTCTTTACTTAAGAATAACAATTCCTGGCATCGCATGCTTTACCTATGGTGGAATGTTAACAGCCACATCCTCTTTGGCAGTTTCCTGCTCCAAAGCACTATTTTTTACCAAAAGTTCAAAAGCCTTAACTTCTTAATTGCGATCGCTTGCGGTCAGAACCGTAACTTTCTCGCTTTCAACCAACAAAAACAAAACATTCCTTATTCTCTCAGGGCGGGATATTCAATGCTGGGTAAATCTGTAAGTCACAATGCAACCCAATATTATTTCCAACAACAACAACAGCTACAAATTACAAAAACAAAAAGTGTGCAACAATAACAATAATAATAATAACAATAATAATAAAAGCAATAATAACAAAGTCAACGGCATTAAAGCTCCATGAAGCATAAACCTTCAACTTGCAAAACAAATGTACAAACAGACACACATATAGCCTTATTATACATATGCACATATGTACATACATATATATGCTTCCAGGTATCTAACACTGTGCCAAACGCCAAGTAAAGTTGGGAAAAAGATAAAAATGAAGAAGAATTAGTGGAAATGGGGGAAATGGGAAATGCGAAATGCAAATCCGCAAGCCGTAGTCGAACAAGAAAAGCACAACAACAATAAACCAAATAATAGTAGACAACATAAATGCAAAATAAACAATTGGAAAAGTAATAAAAAGCAAAAGAATTAGAACGAAATGGAAAAATGTCTACTAGAAAACATCGCAATAAAAACAAAAAGGGTATTTAGATATATATATATATCTATGTATATGTAAGTATATACATATATATGTATATATTCCTACAAACAAAATGACAGTGACATTTAGTTCGTTTTGTTGACATTTGCTCCACCATATGCCGATGTTAGTACGTATGTATGTATGTACGCGCCGTATTGGCGAGTGGACAATGGCGCTGGCGGTTGCATAAATGCTCTGCATATATGTATATTTATGTAGTTGTTGTTGTTGTTGTAATGTTGTAAGGGATTTTGGTGGGCGCTAGAGACTCAGCCACAAAAATGCCCACAAAGCAACGAAGCAAATGAATACACAAAATACGCTAAAACAAAGCTTATAAACGATACGACAAATACGGGAAAACGAGCCCTTAAGCAAAAATAAAAATAAACTGCAAAACACAACAACAGATGAAAGAAACAGGGAAATGAATAATACAAGATCGACTCGAAAATTAGACTGAAAGTTAGCAAAATATGGACGCCCATTAGACGGTCGTATGTAGTGATATGCTTCATACACTTTACTCTGAGGTGTGGATCTTAAATTAAGGCTATTTAAGGAGGTGGAGCTGATATTGGCTGGTGCAGCACACGCCACTCTGAAAAAGGTGCAGATGACCAAATGACTTAATTGTCAGGGTGCTGTGAAGCAAACTGCACCGTTGTAAAGCAAAAACTGTACTAAATGTTATCTGCGGCAGCGGACATAGCTCTCACCTAGGAACCCTAGGGGAAATCTGGCAAGCATCTATTGGTATGTAGTGCTATAAACGGCAAGCCATTCTTGCTATCTCATTCCTAAAAATGTCCCAAACCGGAATTAACTTTGAAGTTAAAAAACGAAACTTCAAACTTTTGTCGCTATCTTTATTTAGATCACGAATGAATGGAAATGAACTTAACATTATAGGGGTTCCAGATGTCTTTCTGATTTCGGTAGAAGGTGAAATGGTGATATGGAATTGGAGAAATCACTCCTTTTCCGTATAACGCTATATCCAACTTGATTAAGATCGAGTGGTTTCTAAGATAAAGCCCATGAGAAAACAAAGAAATGCCGTGCATTAATGGAAAACTGTGTACCACACCAACTAAGGCTATGAAGATTTGCTTGGATCTACTCCCCTTTGACATTATGGCGGCCGCGATAGCCGAGTGGTTAGCATTGCGTATTGTCACTCGGAAGACTCTAGTTCAAATCCCAGTGCCAGCCGAAAAAGCGCCAATTAAATGTATATATAACTACATCTTAAGAAGATTCCGTCTGCCAGGAAATCTGGATCTCTGCATATCATGAACTAACTTACGACTTTCAAGGGAGTTACCCTGACTGAATTCATTGATATACGGATGAATCAAAAATAGATAACAGGGTCGGTGAAGGAGGACAAGGAATCACTTGCCAATCCTTTCATTTACCTGAACACTGTTGTGCTTTTTAGGCGGAAATGGCGTATTCTTATCTTTTGAGATGGCACATTAGGAACTCTTGAATATATAAGCAGTTCCTTTGTACCTGGTATAAGTACCTGTATACAGTAACATGGCCGAGTAACGAGATGCATACAAGGCCACTTGAAGAAAATCACGGAACCTTATAGAGCTAAAATGTAAGAAAAATCTACAGATATTGGTCTTCTTACTAGGCATATTCTATTGGGCGTGCAGGAGTTGAAGACAAGAACAGGAGACTGAAACCTTTGGAATCATTGAGCCCAACGAGTATTTGCACAAATCTACGGCTACAGAACAATTGGATACAATAAACCAAGTCAACAGTGGCCTTAAACTGTAGAAACGCTCTCTCAAAAATATACAGTACTACCGTGGTCTGGGTACCTGGACACCGGGACATACCAGGCAATTGCATGACAGATGAACTAGCAAGGTAAGAATCCCTTCTACTTACGATACAAGATGCACACATTGCTCGTTTACCTCAAAGTACATGCTTAAGCTGGCTTCCACCAGGAAAGCTGACTCAAGATAGTGTACCGAGAAGACGTGTAACGTGACCAGACAACTATAGCCGAAGTTGGACGCGAAAAAATCAAAACACCGTATCCTTCTAGACCGACATACATAAAGACTGGTTGCCGCAGCTGTAGGGACGAAGAAGAAGAGGAGACCGTCTCTGCCACTTGTCACCGATATGTTGAATTTGTTACTTATCCATCTGGGCGTGAAGACCCAGTTTCAGCTAAGGGGAGTAACCCTGCAATCCATATTATATAGTTAGAGTATTAACCATCCACTAAAAGATATCCATTGAATAGAAAAGTATATCAACAATTTTTATTTTTTATTTTTTAAATATAATCTACTACACTCTCAATCCTTAGATCCTCAAATATACGAGAATTTCTTCCATTTTTTTATGAAAACTTACCAAACTCGAGTAGAACGGTCCACTGTCCACACTAATACTGGGATACGGATTCTGCTCATTCGATGGATACGGTGTACCATACACACCCACTGGGGGCGCTTGTACACCTGCCGAAGCTGCTACCGCCGCTGCTGATTGCATGCGAGCATAACTACTCAACGCCAAACGGGTTGGATCATATTGACATGAACAAACTGTTTGACCCGTCATCGGGTCGGTCATCATCGGGCGTCCATTATCACAGCAAACGGCGGAGGAGGAAAGCGGATGTTGTGTACTTGGCGGTGCTATACCCAAAGACATTGGATCAGCGGTGGGGCAGGACGCATATGGTTCAATAGAACTACTATCTATACTGCCACTCGCGCTGCCACTGCTGCCAGCTGCACTGGGTGTGCCGGTAATTGATGGTTGTGAGGCAGGATCGGGCGTCAGTGTTCCACCACTGTTATGTTCGGCACCGCCAGCTCCAGCACCAACAGCAGCGGTACTGACATTGCTATCATGACCGTTTGATGGTGGACTAATAGAGGCTGTCGGGTGAACAGGAGTTGAAGCGGCAAGCGGTGATTGTGATATGGGGTGGAGTGTTGAAAGCGCACCACCGGCTGTGAGATACTGCAAAAGAAAAGGAAATGTTAATTAGATTAAACGATATTATTTGACAACTAAACTTTGTTATTTATAGTACTTAAATGGTAATTTGAAATTCACGATAAGACACATATCTTAGCAAAAGGAAATCTCACGCTTAAATATGCGAAAATAAGCAGTGAACCTGAAAGAGAGTACTCTGAGTATATTTCATGCGAAAACTGTACCGTCATCGCTTTCCGCGGCGAACAGGGCGAACTTCATTGGAGCCAACATAACCTGTATGAAAGATAATCAAGCGAGCAATTGTTACTTTATACTACCAGAAGCTTCTCACATGTGAGGACTATACGAGGCACGACGCAATATACGAAGACTTACGACTCCTGTACGGTTCTTGGCAAACGGAAGCATGCCTTAACCCACGGCCAATACATTTACTTTCAGAAAGTTGAATCCATTGAATCCGATGAAAGGTGGAGTATTTAAAGGAACTACTCAAAGTAGTGTAATGGCAGTATCCTCATCGAAATCCAGCAGTTGCTGATCTTGTTGTTGTCATACAGGATAACTTACTCACGCAAGGGGGAAAACTTGGTTCTTGAGATTTTCTTTAGCCGTAGATATACTGACGACATGAGGCAATTTTGAAATGAATTAATTGATCCAAGAAATACCTAATGATTTACTGCAGAATCACTCTTGTCAATAGGTGCTACTTTGAACTGAGAGTAAAATCCTCACTGGTATTTGATGCAGTGCCAGTCTGTGGAAGCAGAGTAAAAAGAGGACCTACACTTCGTTAGATGAATCAGATGAAGAGCGACCTGATATGACTTGATATTTGCAACCGGAAATCTAGCTGGTGGTTCATTTACCACCTGAACCAGGTCGCCGCTCACCATCGATGATGCTGAATACATTCCGTACATGCACTAGCTGATCCAGATCATACGACATCCACGATACCGTGAATATTGGGAAACGGCTACACTTATCGAAACATGATGCAGCTGAAAAGGTCAGTTAAACCCCGAAGCGATTTTCTATTTGCGCTGATTACGTTTGTTTGGTGGTATGGAACTACGAGTAATTTATTTGAGAAAAAATTCACTATAATTAAATCAAAAGCCTTTAATGGAAAGGTTGATAACCGTGTAGGCCTTGGGTACTTTGGACTATTATTGTAGACTGTTCGAAGACTACTGAGGCAGTGATGTCCAATTGTTTCCTCCTCTAAAAATATTCAATAATTACCCTGCACCAGAAGAAGGTCATCCGCAATAACGGAGTGGTTAGCACTCGTCAGATTGTTTCATTGACTCCAGGGAAGTCTTGTACGAAGGAAGTAAGTGGACAAGGGAGTGGCTTATTCGTAGACAAACGAATTCATGGTTCGATTTACTTGATATTCCGGTGCATAGAAGAGTTTTAGCTTAGATTTGCTTAGATTTGCTTAGATTAACAGGAAGAGTACAAGAAGAGGACAGAGATGAGTAGTTCTCCCTCGAAAGTGGTCGAAGGAGTGACCTTTTCGAAAATTTATGATTTATTGTTGAAGAATGTTATATTCCTAAAAGTATTGAATAAAAGAAGTTATAATAAGAAGATATACCATGACTTATTTGCAGACATTCAATGAGTATGTGCGACAGTGCAGCGTTGTAGGGTAGAGCTAGGGTTGTCCAATTGGAATGATATGATTGCTAAGAGCCTATTTGGTCATGTTTAATATGTCATTATTTGACTTGTATTTTTTCATTGTATTTAGTACTGTTTTCAATATCATCATGGCAAGATATTTGCATGAAAAAACGTTTACAAACAACAACAAAAACAATAAATGCGATGCGATAATAATTTTCTGAAGAAAATCATCTTCTCCGATGATGTCAGCTGTGCGGCAAATAAACAAAACTGCCGAATCTAGTGCGAAGAAAATCAACAAATTATTAGTGAAGACCCATTATATTCATCTAAATTGACGGTTTTGTGTGGTTTTTGCTCTGGTGGAATCATCGATCCATTCGTCTTTCGAAATGAAGTTGGTAGTACCGCTACTGTCAATGCAGAATGGTATAGATCGCTGATAATCAACTTTTTACGGCCATAATTGCAAGTAGTTGATCTTCAAATCATCTGATTCCAACAGATGTCACACAGCACGTACAAGAACCGATTTAATACTAAAAAGGTTTGGAGATTCGATTATTTGAGAAATTGTGACATTGAATGGCCTCCAAGAAGCTGTGATTTAACACCATTAGACTACTTGTTGTGGGGTCATTTGAAGGCATTGGTCTCTGGCAATAAACCGGACTCTCTTCAAGCTTTAGAAGTAAACAATGAAGGTGCTATTCGTGAAAAACGACTCGATTTTATGGAAAAAGTGCTCAGAAATCGGGTTCTTCGAATTCGTTACTTCAAAAGAAGTCGTGAAGTCCATTTGAATGATGTTATTTTCAGAGCTTAATTGTAAAACATTAAACAAAAAATATATGAAATTCTTCAACAATTAGTGGGTTTTTTTTTTTAAATCATATCACTCTTAACGGAAAACCTTTTCGATTTGCAGACATGCAGAATAGATCTAACCACTACGAAATTATCTCCCTGGGAATATATTTATCTATCTTTACCATCCATAAACTAATCGAGTAGAGAAATTTCTATGGTTAATAATCAAAAAGGGGTTTAAACCTTTGTTTCGACTTAAATAATAGGAGTTTTTGTTTTTCATGTCAAAGATACACTCGGAAGACATTCCCTGCCGAGGAGCGACCGCAATTATAAAATTTCACTTAATTTTTTTATTTAAATTAATTTTTCATAAAATTTTGAATGTGAACACTACACCAGTATTTAACTTCAGAAAATATTTATAGAATATTTGTATACAACCACATACATATAGGAGTATATAAAAAAATTCTACAATTTCTGCGGTCAATTCGAAGTGTGTTAGTCCTTGAATACTGTCTATGATATGCCATAACCAAGCACAAATATCTACTGAATTTACGACTTCCTGAACAGCACTTAAATATACATTCAATTTCTTACATACACATATATATATATATATATATATATATATATATATATATATATATATATATATATACCTACATGCATATATCTTTATGCTGACAAAAGAAATGACTTCCACACAGATACTCGTACATATATATTTAGAACTGAGTCTCAATGTCGCCCCTTCTTTCGTCAGCGTACCATTGAATATGCAGCTCAAGGTCCCTTCAACTGCTGTCGGCATTTTCTCTTTGAGGTCCTTAAAAATTTGTCAAAGCCTGTCACAAATTTGGTTGCTGATGGATTTACGATATCAGCACAGCCGCCGCTAGTGGCAGCGGCCGCTTAACCACTGAATTGGGGTTGACGGCGCCGCGCTTTGCAACGGCCGGTCAGACAACGAGGCAACCGGTGGCAAGCGACTGGTGACCAGTGGCTGGCTAGTGGTTTGTTGGTCATTATGCGAAGTGCAGACTATGTTATGTTATGACTTGAGTTACCGTTGCGCTGACTTTAATTGTTAAACATAAATAAAAGCAAACAATAAATAGTAAAAGAGTGAATGAGTGAAGCCGCTCGTGAATCTCAAACGGTTGTAAATTATGTGCGAACGTGTAGATTATGGAAATTGTGTAATAAAAGCTAAATACCAGCGCAGCTAAGCTAACTATAAAATTAGCAACAAATGCACAGAAAATAAGTAAAAAAAAATTTGCAAAAAGAAAAATACAAATTCGATTATTTTAATTATAAAATAATTTTATCATAAAATTAAGGAGTAAATTGCATTGTTAATTTGCAGTTAATATTTTGTTGCTTAAGCGCAACATTGTAAGCTGAGTCGCGCTCGAGGCGGTTGAGTGTTGCCCGCGGCAAGTGGATTTCATGGCGTCTGAGGCGGTGAGGCAGTGAAGCAGTGAAGCAGCGCATTTGCGGCAACTGCTTGTACGTACATATGTAAAAATGTATGGAAGCATATGTTTGTGTATTTCTTTTATTATCACGCTATATCGAATCATCAGCAGGAGCAACAGCAACAGCAACAACAACACAATTTAATTGAATTAGTTCTCATTATAATAATATTCATATAATTGCATTGCAAAACGATTCACTGAGGCGCGAAGCGACTGCCAAGTGCAACATACATTTGTAGTATTCTTTATATATATGTATGTATGTATGTATGTACATATGTATACACGTATATGTATGTGCGTTAGTAACTACAATCGCTATATAATTTTGAAAAGGAAATGTTAACAAAACCTACAAATGCAGCAAAACTAATAGATGGAGATTTGTAATACGATATCTTGTAGAACATGTCAGCAACTTTAACTGTATTCATTTTTTAAATCTGCACACTGGTCAAATAGATGAACGCTAACATCGAAATGACACTGACAAATAAAGTAATGACAGTTAACCAGATTGGCTGCTGGCGCGTTAATTTGTTTCTGAAAGTGCATTGGTTTGGAAAAGACTTTGAGCAAATTTCCCTTTGTCAGAATTTCCATGGCTCACATTAATTTAAATTATTCAATTAACAATGGTTTAATGTCTCAAATTAACCATTTGGCATTAGGGCTTTGAGTGAGAGTTTGATAAATTTTTTTCTGGTCACTAAGCAGCAAGGGTATGTATGCCCAAGGCTTAATGTTATCCTGTAAGCGAAAATTCGGCAACACAATTCTCTTCATAAGACGAAAAAATTATATCTCATTCAGTGAGATATGGATCATATCCAAGATAAGACCGCCAGTATTGTTATGTCTAGCACAAGCCAGGTAAGCGAGTAAACGAAGAACTGTGTGGCCGAAATACAGGGGGATTAAAAAAAGTTCGGTCAGTTGACTTTCAATTTGTTTTTGTTAAATCTAACAACACTAAATCCTTTACTTTATTACTTTATTAGTGTTCCTTTCAAATTTTACAACGAACGACTAAAATGGAGACGAAAAAACGCAAGATAGCTGAGGATAGATCGG